ACACACACACACATACATACACATACACATATATACACACACATTTACATATATATACACATACATGCGTATAATTATTATAATTTTTTTGCCATATCGCTCAGCCAAGGGTTCGTAAAAAAAAATTCCAGGATTTTCAAGTACTTTAAGCAGTATTTTTTGGGATGTCAAGGACTACAATTGGGCATGTATTTTTACTTGTCCTGACAAAATGAAAATGTTTCAACCTATGTGACATTGTATTCTAATAAATAAGTCACCACAATTCCAATTTCGATACCACAGCAAAAACTACTAGCTTAACATAACTATTAGATTTGTGAAGTTTTGTTGTTTCATTAACATTAATGACAGACAGCAGCAGGTATATTAGGCTGCTGTCACTTTAAGACCTCGTGTAGTGGACAAATAAATGGGTGGGAAGAGCAGAAAAAAAAAAACACTTGCAACACTCAATATGGTGGGTGTAGTAAAGGAAATCCTGCCTTTCAGGTAAACTAAGGCGCAAATTACATCACTGAAGACCTATCACACCTAAGAGTATCATACCTTTCTCTCATAGATGGCTATCCAATCTGTTGTGGCAAACCATTTGTGGTTTTTAATATCATTGACACCATTCCTTAGGTTGCCGTAGCGCTTGGTCAGGTCCACCTGCAGCAGATTCCTCAAAAGATCTTTCAGATCGGAACTGAAGTGCGAGGGGAATCGTACCTACAAAACACGTTCACATTGCCATTTTGATTGTGCATTCATTGCATAGTCAAATAAATCGAATTGCTTGACCGCTTGACATATACTAAAGACAATGCAACACGCCAGTACCTTTCCAGACACAATCTTCTCATAGATCTGAATAGGCTGGTCTGCAAAAAACGGGGGATATCCAGCTGCCATTTCATATATGAGAACACCAAGGGCCCACCAGTCCACAGCCTTGTTGTATCCCTAAATTTCAGAAACAAATAAGTGATTTGCCTTGCTTGGAAATTTGGATTCAGTTTTGGAATTTTAAATACTCAAGGCTTACCTTGCTGAGGATGATCTCTGGTGCCAAGTACTCTGGAGTTCCACATAATGTCCAGGTTCTGCCTTTTACTCTTTTTGCAAAACCAAAGTCTGTTACCTGTGCGGGAAACAATAGTTCAGTACATTTAAGTGTCCTGTATCATCTGTTCTAACAAAATAACATTAAAGGTTCTAACTAAATGCAACACTCTCTTGGCAGGTCTTCCAGCCAGTTCTATCAAACCTCTACAACTAATCCAGAATGCGGCTTCACGATTAGTCTTTAACGAGCCGAAAAGAACACACGTCACACCTCTGTTCATCAATTTGCACTGGCTACCAAAAGCTGCTTGCATAACATTCAAAACCACCACTGGCTCTGCACCCCTTTACCTAACTTCATTACTTCAGACTTATGTGCCTCCAGAAGCTCGGTGCGTTCTGCAAGTGAACATCGCATAATAGTGCATCCCAAAGAGGCACAAAGTCACTTTCACAGACTTTTACCTCCACTGTTCCCTGCTGGTGGAATGACGAGCCCAACTCAATCCCAGCAGCTGAGTCCTTAGCCATGTTCAAGAAAAAGCTAAAGACACATCTCTTCCATCTTTATTTGACTCTCTAACACTAGCACTCTCTTATTTGATCTACTCGTTTCGATGCCGCTGCAGATGTAGACAAGAATGACTCTAAGCAATTGAGGTGTTCTGTTGTTGGATGTAAGAATGAACATAGCAGTCGTCATTTACTCCCGACACCTGAGCCGCTAAAGACGCAGTGGATAACTTATGTTTTTTGAAGGGAATGTGACCCCCGATCTACCTAAATGCGTTTGTTTGCGTGAATCATTTTACTCCATTATCATTAGACTGTTTTCTGAATGAGGGACAATTCAAGGCAGGTTTTGCTAAAAAGTTCAAACTCAAGGATGGATCAGTTCCCACTGTTCGCAATCCAGCTGCACCTCCAGAAGAAGTAAGTCCCACACTTTATATTTCTTATGATTATTTGCAAATCGCCTTTCCTCTTCCACGGAAGAGAGGGGCAAAGTGAGCAGAGCTCATTAGCATTTAAAGAGACATGCACCGAAACGGCTCGCTGTGGACAGAGCTGTTTTTAACAAAGTAAACAGGGTGTTTTACACAACCACTGAGGAATTTTAACCAAAGTATGTTACAGACAGTTAATGAAGACTCTAAAGAATCATACCAACTTGTGGAAAATGGGCATCTGATTTCCCCTTTAAGGGAAAAAAAAAAATGCTGTAAACTACACCGGGAACCTTATCATTTGGCACATTACTATAATATTAAAGGTTAAAATTAACAGCAGATTTATTATATTCAACTGCTATTTATTTTCAGATATCATAATTACTCTCAAATAAAAATGCAAATGTCTGTTTACAACTCAACTGCACATAGTCTTCCAGATTTATTCAAGCATATCGGGTGGTCTCACTCGAAAGGGGGCCTCGAGACGTACACGCAATTCAGCGTCCGAGAGGGCTCCTCGAGCTGAAGGGATCCCCCAAATTTGGTGCAGATACGCCACGCCGTTACAGAGATATGGCCGTTCAAATTTTTAATGGTTTTCCATATACTTAAGCTTTAAATCGTGTCATCCAGATCACCAGTAGCAAACAATGGAGCGCGCTCTGCTGGACAAACTACGTAATTACCCCATTTACAAGCATTTTATGTTTTATGCAATTTTCATGTCGGTGGCATATACGCCGATACCGATATATCTGCGACAGGCTCATATCGGCAAAACGATATATCGGTCGGGCTCTAATCTTTGTTACTGTAAGTTAATAAATATGTTCATGTTCATCTTAATTCACAGTGCATTAACTAATGTTAACATATACAACTTTAAATACTAACATTAATAAATGCTACATAATTATTGTTTGTGTTAACAGTTAATGCTAACAAATCAAACCTTTTGTAAAGTGTTACCAAAGTTTTATATGTTGTTCTGTGTGTTTCACACTCTTGATGTTATAGTGTAACCCTTTCTTTGCTGTAATGCTTAAAACCAGACTGCTAGAGGGTTACTGTAAACGCTGTGGGACGTTTTCCTGATGCCATCAGTGTGGCGTTGGCACTGGTGGCTTGGGCCCGTCATCGCTGCTTGCAGCTATATTTCAGATTGTGTTTGTTTATAATTGTGAGTTCAATTAAGAACAGACCACATTTTATGTGTAATCAATGGGTTCAGAAACTGTATTTTTGTTGTCCTAATTCATCTAGTTACCTGTATATATCCATGCTGGTCAATGAGTAGGTTTTCAGGTTTCAGGTCTCTGTAGATGAGGTCTAGTGAGTGGAGGTACTCAAAGGTCAGGACAATCTGTGCAGCATAAAACCGTGCATGTGGTTCACTGTCGATCAAAGAAATCACATCTAAGAGTTAGAGATAAAGCGAGAGATCAGCATGAATCAGGCTTTCCTCGGTCAAAAACGGCCTTAGCATGTATAGATTACATCAGCTAGATATTTAAAATTAAATATATAAAAGTAGTTACTTAGGTAAAATGAATGTTCAATGGCTTTTTACCTCTGATACCAAAGTTTTATCATGAATTGTTACTGGTATTCGTACTAACTACTTTTTTTTGTATTATTATTATTATCATGTACACTGATAAATATAATAACTTTCTGACATATGACAAATCCCGTAACATATCATAATCCCATACAGTAGAATAAAAATATCACTACTTGCATTAAATGTAAGGTTTCAATGAAAAACCTAAATTAAACTTCCAACATCAAACTAGTGACTTCTGTGCTGTCAGTATGAGCCATTTTGCAAAAAGGATACATTGTTTTGAACTACTAACATTTATAGAGTAGAATATTTAAAAAAAAAATGTTCTCAAGCACATTAAACAACTAAGACCTGACATAATCATTTAACTCCATATACTAGTTGGGTTATATACTAGCTGTGCAATTATGACAAAAATCATAACTGTCAATTATTCCCTTGAAAGTGTAATTGTGATTATTAATTACGATTATCACTTTTACATTGAATGATGTTTTGAATAGCTTTATACCATTGTTTGAAGCCACTGCATGCCATATTTTTATATAAAAATAAATAAGCTGAAAATGTTTTTAAAAATTCATTTTCTATAGCATAAGCCTCAAATGTCAACTATACATTGGTTTGGTTTCTTCTTTAAATAAAAAAAAAAGTCAAAATATGCATGGTATTATAATGTTATACTAAAACTAAAATTAAAACAATGGGAAAACGCCTTAAGATAACCTGTAGAAAGTAAAGCACACACATCTTCAGCACACAGAATATAAGTGGACTTTGAATGATTACGTAATTGTGGCATCCGTAATTGTAATCACTAGAAATTCGATTAAGTGTGCAACCCTACTAGTAACCAAGTAACACTTTCGATGCATAAGGACCGAGTGTGAGGAAAAAAGCTATTTATTTTAAACAAGCAATCCTTGACATTAAACCTTGAAAAGAAATGCTTGGAAAATAAGAAAACAATTCTTAATAAGAAAATAGTTTGATCAGACTCAAGCATCCTTTGCATAAACCTGTGCTGGAGGCTCATGCAAACTGATCCAGCAGTAAACGTATCATGTGATTAAAAGTCTTCACTCACCTAAACCTTCCGATTCTTCTAAGATGTGAGAACATCTCCCCTCCTGGAACATACTCCATCACCATATACAAATTAGAGTTGTCCTGCGAGAAATAAAGTTAGGATTAAAACAGAGACACACAAAACTAGTGGTCCGCAGAGATGGATTTTAGATAAACTGAAGTCTAGAATAATGCACCACACTCCTACTTCTTGTTGGAATTGCTACTTGACTACTCAATAACACGGTTTACACATCTATATTTTGCTTTTATTATTATTATTATATTTTGCAAAAGTTATGCTCACATTACCGTCGTGTTAATATAATTTTTATAAATATTAATTTCCGTATTTTACTTGGCTTACTCGATATTCCGTTACAATTCAGTGACTGGAGAAAAATTAAACGCTCATGCAAAATGCACTTGCATTCAAAATGGTTTTATGATGCAAAATAAATGTAAACAGTCAGTTACTTTTTAAGGGACTATAAATGGAGGAGACAGAATATCTGATGTCTTTGCTGTCATTAATAATAATCAAACAGCAATAATACAGAAAAAAAAACTCTGATCATGTCTGGAAAAAGCTATCTTTGTTTATTGCCTGTAATGAGTTTTTGTTCTGAAGCTATATATCGATTGTTGAAAATTGCTAGACTCCACCAAAACGTTCAATTTCTGATTTAACTTGTAATTGTTTTAAACAAATCCAAGGAACTTCATGTACACTTGGTCACTAGGCGCGTTTCCATTACAAACTTTGGCGATATTTTCTGAATGTTGATAAAAACGTATTGCGAAATGACGGCGTTTCCATTAACCAATGTTATGCGGCTAAAACGTAACCTTTTGCCTCTCGCGATAAGTCATGGCAACGGATTTTGGCTATATTTATTCAAAGGAGGCTTATGCGTGTATCTTTACAGAAGCAGCAAAGAGAGCCGCTTCAGAAACGTGCGTGGCGCGGCTGGAATAAACCATAGCCTGTATAAAAACATAAACACAAGCACTGTAATCAGCTTCAGTGGCCGTATCAGAGCCACACTGCACCGCAGACGTGTGCAGTGTAAATTGTCTAAGCATTAATGGTAGGGAAAGCCCCTTATACTGGAGCGCGGCCACTTATGAAGTGTTTCTTGGAGGTTATAGTACATTGAAGAATGATCATATGGCTTTTTACATACGCCATGTGACCTGTAAATGCGAAAAGCGTTTCCATTGCAGTTTTGCGAATTATTCCTTTTTCGCATTGCCTGAAAAACCACCTCGTGCGAGCGTAAATTTTTTTTGCGATATATGGGCGTTTTTGCGAAATTTACAATAATTGTGATCCTACAATAAACTTCATATTTTCATCTGCATGATTGACATTCAATTATTTTTCTTCCAAACTACAATCTCTAATTTCTATTTGTAAACAATGTTGGTTAAATTTGGTTTCAGATTTTTTTTAGACATTTTAACTTAAAAATTAAAGAAAATTAGAGACAAGAGATTAGAAAAATGTGTGTACACCATGGTTAAAATTAAACAAACACTTGTTTTACACAAAAAACACACATACACACAAAAAAAATTCACAAAATAGAATATACAGAAACAAACAAAAAGTTGTTTTCAATAACACTTTTCCTTTCTTGGCCAAATATTGGCTGATTATTTGCCCTGGCTGATGCATCTGTTGATCACGACACAAATTGAATGAAATGGCAATAGGAAGGTGCTGTACAGTAGTACCTTGAAGGCATATTCCAATCTGACGAGGAACGGGAAGGATACTGCTTGTAATATTTTCTTCTCATTTAGCGTATGCTCCACTTGTTTCAACTTCACCACCTACCAAAACATAAATTCAAATTAAATAAGAATTCTCGAGCAGATGATGATACGCCATCATACATACAGTATTTATTTATACCAAGGTCTGTCTGAATTCTTGATTCTGATCGTTTAAATGTGTTCGCTAAAACCTTTCAATGCACAGGTAGGTTAATCACAGTTTTAATGCACTCTTCGCTGTAGATTCTACCTTACATTTTGAAACAAATAATTTGACTTTGAAAGCATCATTGATGCTTTTGTATAAAATAAATTAAATTTTCATGGTGTGAAATACTGACAAAAAATAAAATAAAATCATAAACGCATGGTAATTTTGGTTACCTGCATAATACAACCCACCTTTTGTTTGTCCAGAACTTTCATGGCATAGAACTGATCCGTAGCCTTGTGTTTAACCAGCATGACTCTCCCAAAAGAGCCCGTGCCCAGCGTCTTCAGTCTGTCAAAGTCATCTAAACCAGTTGTGCTCTATGGGACAAAACAAACACTCCAAAAACTGTCCATTTGGGGAAAAAAACATTTAAATGGCACATAAGGCAGTTTTTACATCAAATATTTAATGAATAATTATATTTCCACTATAATTTGTTGCTGAAATATAAACATTTAAGTGTTGGCCGTCATAAAAACATTCATGACAAATTTATTCAAACATACAATAAATGAAACATCACTAACAAGTTAAGCAATAAAATTATGAATATGTAATTTATGGCATATATATACAGGTATGTCTTATATATTTATATGAGACATGGTACATTTCAGTAAGTTGTACCGTTTCTTTCAACACCACCTGATGTTTATTCGTGTTTAACCGCATGCTATAACTAGTAGTAAAGAGGACGAGATTAAAGAGATTTTTTGTTTGAATTGTGTGATGATACTGGCAGAATTTGAAAGCTGAGATTTTGTTTCATATAAAAAGTAACAGCACAAAGCTTATTGCAATAACTGTTCACGCATCAACAGAAAACAGCATAGGCAAAAAAAAATTGATTATGGAATTTAAGAAATATCGGTTAATCAAAATGAAGATGTTTCTTAATGGGAACAGATTTTGGAGAATTTGCTTGCTCATCATGACTCCTGCATGACAAAAGCCGTGTTTGTGTAACAAACAAATCCATCATTAAAGCATTTTAACATAAACCATTGCTTCTGCCCAAAATACAAGTTCATAATCAATAATAATGCTTCCTCCGGGTAAAAAATCAGGAGAGAAATCTGCACAGATCAAGCAGCGTTTACAAGTCAAGATGGATTTGTTTCTTACAAACACACAGCTTTTGTCTTCTCCAGATGTTAACTGATGGACTGGAGTGCTGTGGATTATTGAGATGTTTTTATCAGCTGTTGGACTCTCATTCTGACGGCACCCATTCACTGCAGAGCATCCATTGCTGAGACACTGATGCAATGTTACATTTCTCCAAATCTGATGAAGAAACAAACTCATCTACATCTTGAATGACCTGTGGGTGAGTACATTTTCGTTTTTTTGGGTGAGCTATTCCTTTAACTTCACCGTTTTGGCAACACTCACTACAGTATCTGACAGGATCTTCTGATCACATTTGCCGGAAGTCTCCAGCTATTATTGAAAATGAATGCAATCATGTTGCTTTAGTTGCCGACTGTGAATTATGCAGTGCTTCATCACTAATAATGAGGAAGAAGAATTTAAAAAAAACTCACCTGTGGTGGTGATTCCCATTTTCTCAAGAAATCTTCTTTGGCTTTGGCTAGAAACTCTTTCACTGTAAGGAAGAAAAACAAAAATCAAAGTACAGTCAATCAAACGCTCCCTCATTTATAGCTGGACCACAACTCAACTAAATAATTGACATTAAAAGATATTCAAGTTGACAAATAAACAAAGGGAATATTTTTCTAGTTCTAGTACTTTCTAGACATCAAAATCAGGCACTCTCACAAGGCTTGTCATGGACATCAGTGGTGAAAAGGTGTTTTTGTGAAGCATGCATACATTTTATTATTTATTAACACAGGAGCAGGACATCAAAAGTATAACGTAAGACACTTCCACATAAAACAAACAACACAGCAGACTTCAGTTGACCTCAGTGACGGAAAAATGAAGACGCTTTCTCTGCGTGCACATTTGGGCGGCATTATGCTAATATTTCCACATAGTGAGGTAGATATGTGGGGGCGTGTTAGAACGAGCCGTTTTAGGGGGGCGTGGCACAGTCTTAACTTTGATAAAGAATATCTCTTTGGGTTTGTGACTTTAGTCTTTGCAACTTCAGGGATCTTATCTATGCACAATCAGCTTGTAACACTCCAAAGAGAAAGCAAACTTGAAATCGCACCATGTGACCCCTTTAAGCAAATGTTTTTTCGTCACTGAGGTAACTTAATGTAATTGTGATCCTACCAAAAGTCTCTACAGGATTTTCAGGAACATTCACCCACATGGATGGGATGACGACGAATCAGAGAGAAAGACAAAGAGAGAGAGAGATAAAAGAAAGACTTCTGTCAAACAATCACATCAGTTAGACGGTGCAAGACATGGATTAGACATGACAAAAGTACAGGGCTATAAAAACTAGACAAAGCAAACGCTGAGAGACTCAAAAGTGTATTGTTTATACTGAATAAGACCGCGACGACTAGAGCCAATCTGAGGATATTCATCATAGTTTATAAGAACTTAGCAAAACATTCAAGAGCAATGTGTGCATAAATGGTTTTGGGCACTGTACCATACGCGTGTTTAATTCCTAACAGCTAGTTTGTGTCGCTCTAACTGGTTTGAAGGTTTTTTTTTACTACGGCAGATGTGTGCAGGAGGATCCTTCTCACCGTCACATCCTTTTATGGTATGTTCTCGCTTCGCAAGCATGTGACGGCTTGGAATAAACCATTTTATAAAGTACAACCGCTTACGAGTACAAGACTAGAACGATTCAGAATTTAAGATGAATTTACAGAAGAGTTAAGGTTTATTTTTTATGTTGTTGTATAGAAGAATTGACTTTTTTGACAAGATTAGGGATGTGCCAAGATGGTCCAACAGAGGTAACTGGGAATTTAACAACAAACTGAACAGTAATGACTAATTAATGAAGTGCATAATTTATAAAAACTGACAATGAATGTGAACATACATGTATCTAAAAATCCAACTTAAATCAACATTTACAAATTTACCGGAGAATCAATTATTTTTTCATAAACTGTATCTTAAATGTCAGTGTATTTTGTCTTAATGCAGTTTTTTTTCTTTCACTTTTTAAACTACACTTAAAACTAATTAAAAAAGCCAGTTTAGCAAGACAAAAACACTTGTATTAGACACATTCTCTGAAAAGAAATCTTATGTAGGCCTATGTCTTGACTTAGTGTTGCTTCTACAATACATTTTTCTTGATTCAGGGATTTTAAAAAATAAAAGGTGATTGAAATGTATCATTCTGTCTCTAGGATGTGCATAGGCAGGTTTCTTACGAGGACTTTATGTTTTATAAAAATTATAGTTATTTCACCTGCTTTTCTGTTGAACGTATTCGTCCACACATCACTGCTTCATTAAAGGAATAGTTTATTGCTTTTATACAACAGTTCAAAAAACAAGTTAAAATTGAGTAAAGTTGCATTTTAGGCACAATATTGCCAGTTACTTTGTTTGCCCCCTCTAATGAAAATATCTGCAAACAGAAACACGGTGCATCTCAGAGTAACACACAGGTGGTGTTTCCCCCTAAATGAACAGGCTAAGTGTTTTTGCACAAAATGGTTGAGTAAACAATTCAACGACTGCCTAATAAACACAGTCATTTCTCCCTCCTACTGATGTAATGATGTAAGAAAGAGTCAGTGAAAATCTCCCTGCTATTACTACATAGACTGACAGCTGGTCTGGAGAGCAACATGCACAGTGCTCGACCAATCAGATTCAAGAACCAAATCTAATTGTTGTAACCTGCTCCAACAGTGAATTGACTGTAAAAAATGACATTAAAATAACCTCAATAGTTGCAATGCACTGCATTTTGTGAAGTCCACATTGCATTTGGCGATGCAGGTCTATCACACTGAGCAGTGCATCCAGGGCAAGCATGCGTCACACTTAAACTAGCAGTGTTGATTGCAGTTGATAGCATCAAGCCTTTCAAATCTACTAATCAGCTACTCTTATCCTCTGAAGATGACAAGCTGATCCCATCAACGACCAAAGCTAAGTGTACTCAGACATGGAAGCTCTTCGCAGTACTAACATGAACGTTTTCTATGTTTAAGACGAAAAAACATAAAACATGCCTTACACTTAATGTCCATATACTGTTTGCACTGGTTTGTACAAAGTTAACAATATATGATTCTCAAGTTTTTGCTCTTGAGAAGAAACAAACAAACATCTTAAACCAGTGTAAGCTGGTCTGTTGGTTGTTTTTGGGCTCGGTTCAAGCTAGACCAGATGAAAACCGGCTTGGTCGGGCTGTGAGACCATCTTAAACCAGCTATGATCAGCAATCCAGATTAAGCTGGTGTAAGTTTTCTTTTCAGCAGGGACAGAAACAGGTCTTTTTGAATTTAAAGATATTTAATGAATTACATGTTGAGTGTTTTAAGTAAATCAAATGTGTCCCTGGAGCACAAAAGCAGTGTTAAGTCGCTGGGGGATATTTGTAGCAATAGCCAACAATACATTGTATGGGTCAAAATTATACATTTCTCTTTTATGCCAAAAATCATTAGGATATTAAGTAAAGATCATTTTCCTTGAAGATATTTTGTAAATTTCCTACCGTAAATTAGGGGTGTGCGATATATATCATCTGCGATAATATCGTAGGGCTGGACAATAATTCAATATCGATATATATCGCGATCAATGATATGATTTTTAAACATTTCCGATATTTCGATATACATTACCAGTGTTTCCCATACATTTATTTATTTGTGCCGTTTGACTTCGTTGAATAAACATGAGCACTGCACGTTTCAAAATCATAAGACGGCGCGGGTGTTTTATATGAACGTATCTCTGAAGGGAACCGACTGTTTTCAGAAACGTTTCAATGGCGTTTTCATTTGATCTGATAAAGTAGCGTTCATGAGCGGAGCTGCTGTGATTACAGCCGTTACTGGAGAAACCGCTAGTTCTGCCGCTCTCACAGCGCCTCCTGCTGGCAGAGAATGAGTTTGCATTTTCAATAAGCCCGTCTCCAGCAACATTTCCAATTTTTAGTTTTCTGCAGCGACTCGGAGCACTTTTCATACCCTTTTTTCTGGCTGAAGCACATTTGTTTCAATCTATAAGAAGAATCAGCCTACACTAGCAGTCTAAAGTTTTTGAACAGTAAGATTTTTTATGTTTTTATTTTTTTTTTAAGAATTCTCTTCTGCTCACCAAGGCTGCATTTATTTGATCCAAAGTACAGCAAAAACAGTAAAATGTTGAAATATTTTTACTATTTAAAATTGCTTTATATTTGAATAGATTTTAAAATGTAATTTATTCGTGTGATCATACATGGGTGTATTTCCAGCATCATTAGGCCTCCTCCAGTCTTGTGTCACATGAACTTCAGAAATCATTCTAATATGCTGATTTGCTGATTATCAATATTTAAAACAGTTGAGTACATTTGTTTTCAGGATTCTTTGATGAATAGAAAGATCCAAAGATCAGCATTTATCTGAAATAAAAAGCTTTTGTAACATTATACACTAGTCCATTCAGTATAATTTTTATTAATTTTTTTGGGAAAGAAATTAATTAATACTTTCATTTAGCAAGGATGCTTAAAATTGATCGAAAGTGATGATAAAGGCATTTATAATGTTACAAAAGATTTCTTTTTCAGATAAATAGTGTTCATATCGATATCGGAATTGTATCGTATCGACCGAAATTAAGAAATACATCGTGATATCAATTTTGGCCATATCGTCCAGCCCTGAAAATGTATATATTTATACCACTTCATATAGTTATTCAATTTCACACGAAGAGTGCCGTTTTTCTCCAAAAATTACCATGATTACAAATGTGACATTGAATTCAATAAACAATAAGTTAATTAAGAGACTTACGTTTTAGACTCCATATTGCTTGTTTTTGCTCTATTTCGCCAACAACAATCATCCCGAATACAGCCAC